GCTCACTGCAGCGCGCTCTTCCAGCCAACGCGCTGATGAGCTGATACAGTATGGGAGACTGGTAGCTCAAAGCTGAATAGGAACGTGGGGCTGAGCAAGCTGATTCTGTAACAAGCTGAGAAAACAAGGATAGAACCTCAAGATGCACAATAATCACCTGCACTCAGAATCGCCCTATCACAGCTACGTCCTGGGCTGGCGTGACGTGGCAAGCAGAGACATGCGCACACTCCTTCGCGTGCCACATGGACTCACAGAAAGGATCCCATCCTTCCCTTACCAGAAAGCAGGCAAGACAACCAAAAACAACTTAAGAAAAAATAAAGCTTCCTTATACTAAAACTTGTCAGAGGGCGTTAACCTCCTTTTCTCCCCATCTCTGCTATCATTTTCTGTTACACAAATCCTCTCCATCTGCTTAGGGGAAATAAAAGGACAAACATATTCACAAGAGAAAAAAGGAAAATAAACTCCGCTTCCCACCATTTCACAGGGAAGCTATTTACCTATGCTCGAACTGGAGGCAGGGAAAGCGCACACACTTGTGTACTCATTCACACACCCCTCACAAACCACCTCTACTCCAGGGTCACGTTCTTGGGGCAGCTCCCCTTCGTGGGGCAGGTCTGCAGATAAAGCAGCATCTTAGAACTGTTGCTCTAATCCCTGCCTTGTCACAGGCAGGGCACTTCACGCTTCACTTCTCTTCCCCTCTGCCAAGCCTCCACGCCAATAGCATCGTCTTGTGAATAGTGCATCACATGACAGCAATTTACCCTGCCTATTCAAAGATTGGTCCCTCATCACACAAATAGCACTCACCTTGCACATGGGGCTGTCCAAAACAGGAGAAAGAATACCCACATCCAATACTTGCTCAGGAAGTCGACTGTGGAAACCCAGATCCTAAAAAAGAAAGAAAAGGATCAGGTTCTGAGGAACAGGTATGGGTTTTGCTCAAGATCCTCCGAGGTTAGAATAAAATCGTAACACAGCGTGGAGTCCACCTTCACCATCCCACCAACAGCAAATCCTTCCAGCATTAGATATTTGAGCAATTAGAAAGGTTTATAAGACACAAAAGATGGCTATATCAAGACTCAAACCTGCATCCAAGCATAGACCATACCTGTACAGCAGACAGAGTCAGAGGATTGTTAGTGGCTATCAGCAGGAGGTTGAGTTTCCTATTTCCCAAGGTCTAGGGGTACAGGCAAACAACAGAGTTTTTTGCAGAGCCACCTGCCCGGACAACAAGAGATGGCGTGATGCACGTAGCACTCACTAAACCAGTAGGGACTGGTTTGGCCACAGGGAGCGTGCTGCGCAGGTCTTTTGCACTGACGATCCCAGAGGAACCTTGCCCTGTGATGCCACAAGACCGCAATGCCGCACAAGGAGGACATCATGGAATTGCTATAGGGCAGCGAGCTCTTTCTGATGCAGGCCTCCATGCCACAGACCACAGCATGCAGAGATGACACGTGGCACGCCCAAAGCTTGCAGCAGATCCCCCCCCCGCCCCCCCAGCCTCTACTGTTCTTATTTATGATACTGCTGCAGATTTTCTGAGGGACTTTTCCAAAAAGTCAGATCCTGCAAGTTGCCCACAAGCTATTCACTCTCCGAGATAATTCTCCCAACGGCAGAGTCTCCATGGGCTCATGCACTTGACTGCACATGCAGGGAGGAGCGTGTGCACGAGCGTGTGTGCACGCATGCCCATAAGCAAGCACTACCAAAGGTACTGTTTGACGCAGCAGCCACTTGCCAACATGCAGGCTTGCACTAACACTGATAAATAATGATATTCTCAGCCATTTTCTGGCCGTGCTGCCTCCGCTCCCACTGGCAGATGGCAGTGGCAGTTTCCTGTAGAGATGAAAAGATGCTGACGGGCATTTCGCTCCCCCCATCTCAAGGCTACCCTCCTGCACGTTCTCCCTCTGGGACTTTCAGGAGCCAGGACTCCCAGCCATACAGACTCCCCTTAGAAAAAGCCGCTTGGTCCCTTAAAGCACAGTTCTTACATTGCTTGTTATTTCCTTTTTGCAATTATCTGAGTGCAGTCCCCGCTATAAATGACCTACTTTTCCAGAGATATTAACTCACTCACAGATGGTATCTGCCCTTTTCTCTAACCTCCTCTCCTGCCTCTCGTCACACCTGTCCCACCCTCGACTGCATGAACACACCATAAGCCTCCTCACCACAACCTGTGTGTGCCAGGGCCTCACACAGCAGATCTGTGAGGACTACTGAATCCCCAGCCTGGGTCTGGCTTCTCCCTAGACAGCAGAGCCTTGCAGTTAGAGGAGAGGTACGGAGTGAGAGATGGTTCTCCCAAAACTCCTCCCTAAATGCAGTCGGTCCTTGGTCAAGCTGCTACTTCTAACGAAGCCTGTGCTTCCTCAGTAATTCGCTAAGCACAGCACTGCTTCAGTCGTTCAAGAACCTTCCTGAACGGCAAAGGCAGCTAAGCACGGGATGACATTGGCGGTCTGTGCCACAGGTGAAGGTCCCTGCTTAGCAGTCAGGGGGTCAGGGTAGTAAGACTGCAAGAGTTGGGCGAAACATTAACTGCCTGCCTGTTCGCAGGGGAATGCTAAGCCCACACCCAAGGGACAAGGGACTTTTAATGACTCACCATAGGCTGAATCAGCTCACGATCTGAGTGGTTAGAAACCAGCAAGTCCTCCCCATAGTCACTGGTCTCAGATGCCTTTGAAAGCTGAGAGAAGATATGTATTACAGAGTGTAGATGGGTTATCCCTGCTGTTTCATTTAGGCATTTCCAACAAAAAAAGATGACCACTGATTCTCGGAAAACAAATCTGGTCTCTATATACCATTGGGAAGGAAAACAGCAAACATCCAAGGCGACTGATCATCAGAGGAAAGACAATTCTAAGGGTATGACCCACAAGACAACCACAAAACATCACTTCACAGACCGAAAGGACTGCGGAAGGGAAGGGCAGGGGTAGGAGATGGGGCTGAAGAGGGCAAAAAGGTGCTCTTCACATATCCTTGCTTAAAAGCACTTGCCCCGCTACCCTCTGCTTCTCCTGCAAGGCCTTTCACAGCTCTGAGAAAAGTCCCCAGCCCACCTAGCAAATGTGTTAAGCCACACAGAACAGTATCATGATTTTTCAATGAATTTGAAAGCACAACACCTGGCAATGCCTATCTGCAGAGAGGACTCCCATGCTCCCAGTCGCTGTGAAACATATGTAGCTGCTTAATGTGCTAACACCCATGTAGCCCTGCTGACTTCAGCAGAACTCTGCAGATGCATAAAGAAAGCATGCAGATAAACGTTTGTGAAAGCAGGGCCTGTAATTTCAAGCTCCTCAGGACAGGACATGTTTTCCAGACTTAGTTTTATAGTGTATCATTTCTTAAAGACATTGCAAACGTATGGGACTAGACAAGTTATCAAAATTGGCAGGAAGGAAGCTAGATCGGAAAGAGATTTACCAGGTCTCATTTTCTAACACTCCTGGAAGACACGAAACAAAGCCGGAGAGCGTTCCTCTATTTGGCACCCCAGATCCAGGGGCCAGGCCGTTAACCCACCTGCACCTTGTGGTGCTTCGTGGTTCTTCCCTTGCCAGAGACTGCACAACCAAGCACCTCACTTCACCCCTTCTGCAGTCTGCCATTTTCCGGTTTCCCCCTCAGAGAGCTGTAGAAAAGCAGTGCACGGACTGGAAGGTATTACACTCAGCAGGCTCAACCCACAGCTCTGGAGCCAGCGTCCAGGTACAGTCCTTCCCTGCTCTGACCTCACACTTCCCTATCAGCATCCTTCCTCAGAGCTGTAAATATCACACCTGGCAGCTCACTTTACACTTTTGCCCCATCTCTGCATAAGCTGAGAGAAACAACAGAAGGAGAGAAACAAAGCAGTACGGACAGCTGGGCTTGGTGTGAACTTCACTATAAAACCGGCTTGCTTAGTACAGATGGCAGCACTGAAAGCTGAGACTTATTCCTCCTCTAAGACTTGAAACGTGCGTCACAGTTCAGGGTTTTTGCCTGTCAGTTGCTTTAGACAGCACTTTGTTACACACATAAAAGAGTGATTTCCTAGCTCAGGACTAAAGATGCCAATCTGGGAAATTTGAAGCGCTTGTACCCCACTGAGGAACACACTGCTGACTAGGAAAGCACTTACGCTGAGCTAACAGAAAATGAGCAAGCGTTCAAAGTGCTTTCCTGAATCAGGGCCTTACAAAGCAACAGGAACTGCCACAGCAGCTTCCACACCAAACCCAACCCATGCAGGCAGGGCTCTTACTTTGCCAGCATCCAGCATGCTGTCTGTTTTTAGATCAGCTGCTTCTTCCCTCATTTCATTTACAATCTTCTCATCAACAGACACAGTGTCGACGGTGACAGCCAGGCTTGCCAGCTGATCTGCCTCAGCAGCTCCAGCATCTGGAGATGCAGCTCGAGGTTGCCCGGGACTGCTGGGCACATCAGTCCCAGCTGCTCTCCTTTCCCCCAGAGACTGTGGCAACTCATCAACTGCAGAGACTTCGCCTTCCACCTCAGCATCTTTCTTGCCCAGTAGTTCATTCCCAGCAAGTTTCCCATCAGACTCCTCTTTGTTCTGGCCAGACAGGCTACTGTCAGCATCTCCAGGAAGGACTTTAACTGGAGTCGGTGGGCACGCTTCGTCAGAATCCAAGGAAGACTCTTGCCCTTCTTCAGCGGGTCTCGATTTTAAAGACTCCTTCTAGGCAGCAAGTCAAACACAATTATAGCTACAACATTCTTTACTGCTTCTCTGGGAAGATGCTGGGGTCAAAAATCGCATACGTTCTCCTACAGCAAGAAGCAAAATCACAAAGCTTTGGGTGACTTTAGCAAGACCAGTTTGATTGATTTTCATACAATCCCTTTCTAAGATCAGGAACTTCATTAAGACAAACACATTCATTTCCTGGGGCTGAGGCTTGTTTTCACTCGGTTGCTTTGGTATTTACGGGGTCCTAGGGAACCAGAGCCGATACTGGATGCTGCAGGAAGCGTCGGCCACTGGGAGCACCTTACGTGCCCTGCAGTAGGCTCAGCTAGGCTTGAGCATTCAGTATGCTCAGTAAGAGATGAAGTTTGCAAAAGGCTGTTCCTGGATATTTAACTTCTGCCTGAAACGATCGCCAAGGAAGGGTAGACAGGACGCAACCATCCCACTTCCCACTGGGACAAGCTCAAGGGCAGGCACTGATTCAAACCACCACTCTTTGAGCTCAGAACTAGACCAGGACTAGTTTAACATACTAGACTAAGAGAAAAGGATCCATGGCCAAATGACAGACGCAACTGGCCTTGGGAAAAAACAATCCTGAATAAAAGCTTCATCACCCAAAGATTCAACTGCCTCTCCCAGCAGTGGGGAGGCCCACAAAACTCACAATGCAAAGCGCGACAGGCAGGAGGAAGCAGGGAAAGGTTCCTTCATCAGTATGCAAACAAAACTGCTAGCACTTCCTACTTTCTCGCTGTTTTATTAATGCTGTGGTGTCTTGTCAAACATAAGCTGCATCCTGCGTACAGCATGTACCATACACAGACTGCATATTTTAACAATGTATTTTTATCAAAGTGCAACTGGAACGCTGTCACTTTTAAACATGGAGTGCTGCAAACTGAAACAATCTCTTCTAGCACGTCATTTGTCTGAGAGACCTTCTCAGGGCTGTGAGAGTCATCGATCAAACTAGAGAGGAGGACAGAGAAATCAAATCACTGGGTACTTTTCAGAAAATCTGCAGTTCAGAGTCTCACCTGCAATTTGCTGAGCAATAAATGAAAGCTTACGGCCCATTTCCAGTTCAGTGCCTGGTTAGCAGAGGCACACAAACACACCACCACTGAACCAGTGGCCAGTCACATCAGGCTCTTCAAAGGTCTTGGCAACATCTTTATCCCAGAACCCAGAAGAATTTGCATGCAGGTGTCATTTCTTTAGTATTAAGCCAGTGCATCAGCCCTCATTACGCTGCTGTTTATCTGGGGGTTAGCGTATTGGAAAGGCTAGTCACCAGTTGCGTTCCCTTTTAGACAGACTTGTCTTGGAGCTTTCCTTAGGACCGTTCCCCTAGGACATCTGACAATGCCAAAGAACAGATGTGCCAAATGAGACCAACCAGGATCCTTAGACTTACAAAAAAGCAAGCAGTTATCTGGTCACACAACACTCACCAGAATATACTGCTGTATCCATGTATACTGTGCACACAACAAGATTTCTGTCTATGCAAATTCATCTTACTTACCAGAATAACCCAGAATAATTTCTTTAGCTGGTAGCATCCTATTTTAAGAACAGAAACGGACAAAATTTTTGTTAATGTTATACCTTAATGGTCATGAACCCAACTCTCTGGAAGAGGGAACTGTGCAAATCAGACACGCAGGCGGAGAAGCTAGGCTTTCCTCTTGCAAAGACAGACATTTTTTTCTATGGATTTCAGAGCCAGGACACAAGTCATTCAGGTTATAATTGACTTTAGTTGTTCCTTTCACAAGCTATAACACATTTTACCTGCAGCTGAGTGACACTAAATGGTATGAAATTCCTGCCTATCAAACACATTACTTCCAGACTGAAGGACCCAGTGATCCGCATAGATCTGGAGAGAAACACATCGATACCAATTGCATGAGGTTTTAGGAAGTCTCATCCAGAGATGAACAATCAGTATGAACAGCAACCACTAGAACTGAATCCTACTCATCTCAGGAAACAGCACGACTATGTCAGCTCTTTAGATTTAAAGAGGTTAGAGAGGTAACGCAAGAGGTTACAACAACAAAAATTTAGTCTTCTAACGGAAAGGAAAAAGGAAAAAAGGAAAAAAAACTCACTACCTTTAAAAGGAAAAACCTTTGGGGGGGGG